CATTTAAGTTTTAAGTGTCAAGCTTGACGTGCTCTTGACTGTACTTTAGTTTATTTTACCGCCTTTAAAAAAAATCTAAGCGGTAGGTATTTTTAATTCTCGCAATTACGAACACATGGAAGTTGGCTGTATGAGTTTTTATTCCCCTGTTTACATAGTTTATTGTTAGTCCATTATTAGTAGATAGATTTAAAGCAGTAGCCAGTCATAGACTTTTATACTTATTTTGCAGGTCTTGGCCGAGAAGAAGTCGCACGGTCCATAGATAACAAACATTCTGTGTTCGATTTTTTAAGGTAACGCAAACATTTCCGAGCATGTTTGAGAAAAAAGTAATATTAATTTTATTTTAACCTGAAAAATATATTGTACGGTTATGCTTTTGTTATCCCGGAAGAGCGGTATCATCAAACAATTTCGTGAACTTCCCAGACTTAGCAAGTTTTTAAGGAGTTACTTTATGACTTTGGAAGTAATAGAGTTTTATACTTTTTGTTTACAGCGATTAAAGCATTTTGTTTTAGAGCTAAATTCACAATCATATAAGTTTAAACATAGTATTCGAGCATGTCATGGATAAACCTACACATTCAATGAAGTTTGACAAACCCAGGTCCTTGCAAAAGAAGTCCGTTATCTACCCAGGATGCTGTGAGAGGCCATTGAAATTAAAAAACATCCTAATTTCAACGGGGAAGATGGTTTCTCCGTACCACCAGTTTGGGATCCAGTATTTCCTCTAACGAAAAATCTCAAACAGACATAAGACTGCAGTACTAATCAATATGTTTTAGTTTATTCTAATTTCTATTATTAATTAATAATAAATTGAACTTAATAAAAAATCATTCAATAAAATAATTTGTAAAACTTAATGTAGCGTAAATTGGAATGTTTTCTTTGTAAAATGAAAAATAAGGTGTTTAATTAATAACTATTGTAACTATAGTGAAAAAATAAGGTGGCTTGCACCAATATTAGACATAACTGGTTGAAGACTGTACCACCTCAGTCAACCGTGACCATGGGACCTGTAAAGAGCCCGAAACGTCGGTTTGTTTGAAAAAACAAATATACGCGATTTAAATCCGGAGAAATAGTTTCATTTCCTACACAGTATTCAAGTTAAAACTTTGTTTGAGCGACACGTGGGTCTCACACGTGATTGCGAGTGCCGTTGTCGCGAAAGCTATAATGCGTGATGGCTTATTTTTACGAATGGTTTGTTGCGCGAAAGTTTCAATTTTTAGCGCGATTAATCTGATTTATCTTGAACCATCCCAGGATTAACCATTTGCGCATTCAAGCTTTCGCAAATCTGTCTTCGTTCTATCGTCGTTCGCGCAAATGAAATATCGCGCTTTTAAACTTTCGCGCAACTGACCATTCGTGAAAGTAAGCCGTCGTGCATTATAGCTTTCGCGCAACCGTCTTCGCAACAGCGTCTTTCGCGTAATCGGAATTCGCAATCACGCGAGACGTGATCTAAATTTCATTGTTTGCATATATTTTGTTTAGGCCCAACCGCAACCTTCTCCGAAATTGCGGTAATCGTCACGATGTATTCTTTCGTGAAATAAAAATTTATTTATTGCGTATTAAAAATTATAACGACAACTCAGAACAATAATGTGGGTGTATTAGAGTAAGATAACAGGCGGCCTTCTAGTCAAGTAGCAGCAATGTTTGTTAGGATAGAAATGTCTCTCTTAACAGCGTCCTGGCAGAATACCGGCGTCGTCGACCTTTGAAATTATTTTAGTTGATTTTAGTAAATAAGTTGTCACGGAGGTGAACAAAGGTTTTATCTATCTATCCATTTTTAATTAGGAATGCATTATTTTATTGATCTCTATTGACACAATACGTTTTGCTTCTTTAGAAAGGTCTAACGCGCATCAAAAGAATGGAATATATAGGTATGTACTACACACATCTGTGTTTCCCAATGAGTACAATTTAAAGCTATTCCAGGGGCAAGTGATTAGATATTTTTAGATAAACCTGTATTATCTTTATTTCTATAATATTTATATGTATTAAATTGTAATAAATTGCCAGGCCTATTAAAAACAAAATAAATGATAAAATGAAACGAAAAAACCAAAGATTTATTGTTATACAAATTGTTATGACAATGTTAATGAATTGCTAATTGAACACTACAAGTGTTCTAAAGGAATAGTTGCAAATAGTCTACTCACTCTCTTCCGTTCTACTTTGTTGTGCTTGTGCGCGATAAGAGTCCATGATGTGATTGTTTTTACTATGTAACACCCTGTACACCATTGTGGAATGACCAAATAAGGAATATTCAATATTGTTGTAGATTAGCGACCTTATGTAAAATTATTTTACAAAGTTGATTTTGTAATTAGATCACTTTCATTTTATACGATGGTAATTTTTTATCGATGAGTATCGCATCTCTGACGTTAAATTATCCGGCCCATGACATAACATTGGTATATAAAAAGCTCTCCCACACCGATGGGACCGTTCACACCCACTCCATACTTCTGATCCACGTGCGGCTATTTTAGGATAGTTGAAGGACGGGAGTTGCGAGTAAACCTGGATGATGGAACGTGGAATCAGTAATGGTTAATTGAATAGTTCGATAGGTGACGTCAGTGGGATGGTTATGAACAGTAATGTCTTTTTTATTTTTAAATTAATAATTAAAATTAGAATTTAATAACATTGTAATATTTTTAATCTCATGCACAAGTGCAAATAGAAGCCACCGTATTCACCGTTCGCGTATATCTACACTACGTTTTTTTTCTCCGTTTAACCAATTTTTGACTAAAAACTGTAAATATTTTGGATTGCGGACAGTAGTGAATGGATACGTAAAATTCTCGCAAGTGGGAAGTACACATGATTCAGTTTGTTTACGACATGTTGGCAGATATTTTAACAAAGCCTTTAGGCAGTGAAATGTATCAACGTTTTGTAAGGGATTTTTATATGCTTAGAGCTTAATAATATTAAGTTAGTACGAGTATGTTGTTGAATAGAACATAATAGTTTAAAGGCGCATTTACTCGGCGCGAGTATCATCGCGCTCACGCCGCGCGGTTGTTTTATTCAGAGGAATTTAAATGTTTATCGCCACGCCTAAGGTTCAATCATAATGTAAATTACACATGCGACATTCTTTATATCACAACAACCTTTAAATAGAGTATCTTTCTTCATGTACACTTCTTCTAACTCCATTCTACTTCATAGGGCTATAATCCTCCGGATCTGAACTGGTGGGATCCTCTGATCCCTATGATGGGCCTCCAGACACACCCCTACAGCCCTTCCTCTGCCACCGCTTCATGCCCCCTTGTACCTTCAGTACAAGTGGCGGTCTCATTCTAATTCTGTTACTGATACGTCATACTCTATCTTCTGGCTGTCTAGTCAACAAATACTGTATCTACGTTAGTAATAAACATTGTGCAAACTTACCACCTGTAGTGCCGACCAACCAGTGCACTCCCAGCAGATGCCTGATATCTCACCTTCATTTAAGATGCCTGTACTGTCGTGTTAGTTCCCTACTCTTAGGCATCATAACAGACTAAATTTATTAATGCTTGATATTACAAAACTTATACTAAATCGCGACATAATTCGCGATAATGTTGTTGCCTAATAAATAGAGTTCAGATTTGCCATTACGTACGTGAAAGCGTGGTAACTGGGTGGTCGCCCCGCGACGTCCGCGTGAAATCTTTCGCGTCGTGTAACTGGGCGCTAAAGGTGCTGTTAGAGCATATGTAAACTGTATGTTCTTACCATCGATGGTTCTTACTAACTGGCTGTTTGTTTAGTAATGACATCTGTGACTTTCGAAAAATTCGTGGAGTTACATCCAATTGCCAAGTTTTATTAAAATCAGTTACCGGTAAGTGCGCGAAACCGGGTTCATACCCTAGTTTGCCACCCTTACAGGTGGAATACTTTGTTCAAATTTAAATGGGACCAATACTGAGGCATCCTCTTTCCAACGAAAAATAATCATCAAAATCCGTTCACAAATCGTCGAAGTAATCACGCAACAAACATACAAAAAACTACAATCGAATTGAGAACCTCCTTTTTGAGGTCGGTTAAAAACAATTACAAGTTGCATTTGTTCCTCCAAAAAGCTTTATATGCAATAAATAATAATGTTTTTCTTGGTCGCATAGTTTCTGAAAGGTTGTCCAATTCCCTATTGACGATGATTGGCTATTAAGAAACAATAAGTAGCAGTAATGTTGATATAGTAACGGAATTATGGTTTTTATTCGAGGAAGTTGTAATAGAACCTAAAGCAATATAATAGGCACAGAAGAAGTATAGTTTAGTCCGTTTTTTATAATATCAAGTGACGAGACAAGGTAAGCAACATCCGCAATAATTGCAGCATCACTAAGAGCTTTAAATCGCAAAGATCCTTAGAGGGGTAGGTCACTGATCAGAACTATTAACCTTCAGAACCGAAAGGCAGTAATGCTCACATTGTACTGTTACTGTTGCCAAAAGGTCAAAAAGTTTTTTAGCTGACAAAGTTTTTGTCAAAAGTTGACAAAGTGACGTTGGTCCATCGTCTTTGTTCGTTGAAAAACAGGTGTAATGGTAAGTATATAAGCATGTATTTCCTCAAAATCTCGCAACTATTCAGCCAACGTGACACGCACACACGCACACGCACTGGCACACGCAAACGCACACGCACACGCACACGCATACGCACACGCACACGCACACGCACACGCACACACATATATGTGTATATATACGACTGTAACTGTAGACAATGGCCCAATGAACATACGGTATATTACATGCCAATAAAATGTGTCACATTCTGCGCCTTTGTAATTCTTTAAAATATTTACTATTTGGATTTGGAGCACTACACTAAAAAAAAAAAAACTAAATTCTAAAAAAAGTAATATTATGTTTTATATTCTACTAGAATATAATAGAATTACATAATTAAGTCTGAAAGATCCTTTTGAAATATTATTGTGTTGTTTTGTTTTCGAAATTTTGTTGTCGTAATTTTTTGTGTGAAAACAATATTTCATTGGCGATTTTTATGAGTAGGTCACTTGGTGAAATATGATAGCATCTTCTTTTATTACAATCTTGTCCATTTTTATATTATTTGGTGTGTGCAACATACCATGTTTTTTGCGAAGTTGTTACGATTCGATTTTTTTTTCAGAATAGTATTTTTTTTATAATAATGGCAGTTATAGTGTCTAAACGCCTGAAGGGCATTGTCAATGCGCCTGTCACCCTTAGGGGCGTATTCTAGAACGCTACTCAATGCTCAAGTCAGGATTTGAGTATGGTTTAAAGCACTCGAAATCATACTCAAGTCCTGACTTGAGCATTGAGTAGAGTTCTGGAATACGACCCTGAGACATAAAGGTGACAAGTTCCATGTGCCTATAATTTCATCAGCACTTTACCCTTCAAAGCCGGAAAGCAATAATGCTCAGATTACTACTTGACGGCAGAAATAGGTTAAGGTGGCAGTACTTTTCTCCAAGAAGTCTTTCATAAGAAGCTCTACTACTGCTTATACGCTGCTTTGCTTTGCACTGCTACTGCGCCTGTCATCCTGAGAAAGCTACACTAAGTTACACCAGCATTCGAACCTTTCAAAACTGGAACGCAGTAATGTTCACATTACAGATCGGTGGCAATAATAGGAACCTATGGTGGCAGTACTTTTCCACTGCTCTTACACTAGTATATTTTAATTCAAGTTTTTGTGAAGTGTAGGCATGTGGCAATGTTTAAAGAAATCTATTTATACCACAATAATGTTTACATCATAACAATATTCAGGGTATTAGGTAAATGATATCTAATCATTTATGAGCGTCCTTATAAAACGGATTTGTTTTCATATTTTATTAATCTGATTTTTGTTAATTAAATTTTTATTGAATTGATATTCAATTATTTTTTGTGAAATTACTCCACTAGTTTGTTATAATTATTAATACAAAGATCGAACACTCAGAAAAAACACTCAGAAAAAATTCCTTCGATCCGGTCGGAAAGTCGTTGAAAGACCATGTACAAAGACACGACGCAAGCACATAGAAGAATTCGTGAGGTCCGTTGGTTTCGTTCCGTGGCTTAGTTGGTATAGCGCCTGCCACGGTATGCAAGAAGACGTCGGTTCGAATCCGACCGGATCGAAGGAATTTTTTCTGAGTGTTCGATCTTTGTATTAATAATTATAACAAACTAGTGGAGTAATTTCACAAAAAATAATTGAATATCAATTCAATAAAAATTTTATTAATGCAGTGAATAGCGACATCTCTCGCCAGGACTGGTAGCTGTAAAGGTACTAACTGGGTGATAAATCTGTCAAAGATTTCTCATAGATGGCGCTACGACTAAAAAGTCGTTGAAAGACCAAGTACAAAGACACGACGCAAGCACATAGAAGAATTCGTGAGGTCCGTTGGTTTCGTTCCGTGGCTTAGTTGGTATAGCGTCTGATTTTTGTTGCTAAGAAAGTTTGTTCTAGTATTTATATTTTTTCAAAAAATTTCAAAAGGTTTCAATTTTGACAGTATTGGTTTCTGTTTACATAATTGAGCAGGAAATGTAGAAAAGCTTACGAACTTTGCTTTTGTGGCTGTCACAGTGGTATTTATACTACATAATCCCGCAAATCTGCACATTTCAAGGTTCTGTTGTGTATGTTACGTGTTACGACATTTGTGAACCAATTTTGACGATTCCATTTTTGTTGGAAAGAGGGTACATCAGTATTGATGTCATTTAAAATTAAAGAAAATATTCCACCTCTAAGGGTGGCAAACTAGGGGATGAATCCGGTTTCGCGCACTTCCCGGTAACCTATGGTTAACTTTTTAGTTTCAGTTTGTATGTTAAATTTGAGCAAAGTTTGGAGTCGATTCCTTTTTTTATAATAAATTTATAAAAAAATAAAAAAGGTAATAAAAACTCATACCTGGTAAGAAACCTGTAATATAATCATTTAGTGAACACATAAGTCGTATAATCTGTATTTCAAGGTTATTTTCGAGTTTAAAGTAACGTTGATTTTTTTTTTGATTTACAAGATGGCTGAATTGAAATTTGAGTTTGAACTAAAAATTCAATTTCCCTATCGCTTTTAGCAATTGGATTTTTAATCAAAAATTGTATACAAAAAATATCAACGATCTTTTCTGTCTTCATTACAAAACCTTTACACTGTAGAACTTATTGCTCACTCAGGTGATAAATTCGAATGAAGCCGTTAG